AAAAAAAAAAAAAAAAAAAAAAAAAAAAAAAAACAATATGCCGAAACAAAACATTGCAACAAGAATCCATTCTGAAACGTGTGAATTTAATTAAGGCGGTGCACTTAAATAGAAAAAAAAAAGTTACAGGAATATTTCTCTGTAGCTAACCGAGTTTTACATCGCCAGAATGCGTCAGAAGTATGTTTGCTCCCTTGATATCTCGATGAACCATCCCTTTAGAATGTAAATACTGAAGGCCTTTAAGAGTTTCTCTGCACACAAAAGCTATTTGAAGTTCTGACAACGGTCCAGTCACTGAATTAGAAAAATGTGATTTCTTGCAGGACTTGTAATTAATTAATAAGCAATATCAGCTTTATATCAAAATAGGAATAAAACGATGGAACTATGGCCACCAGCTAGGTGAACGATGGTTTAACAATTCAAGTAACTGGAAATCACAGAAAAAAACTAAAAGCTAGGACGCGATAGCTGTAAAGAGTATAGGCTAACTGTATATTTAAAAAAACAGTAAGACGTCAATCCAAATATATTACTATGATAAATGTCTTGAAGAGAGCCGCCACTGCAGTACTCCATAACGATCCAAAGCCTATCACGTCGCAAATAGCTACCATGATATGCGATTATATTTGGATGTACACAGTCTCTAATCAAAAGAATCTCCTGCTGAATTACGGCAAAATTGTCACCAGCTTCTAATTTTACTACTTTTACTGCCGACAATTCGCCTGTCCTGAAAATTTTTAAAATCTTATAAAAATTCATGTTACCAAGAAATTTTTTTCCAACAGCTTCCAAAAACATATCCAAATTGCAGGTAATTATATTTTAAAAAAGACCGTATGATGAAAAAAGTTATTTCTTCTTTTTATTAAGCCGACTATAAGAAACAAATGTTAACCACTGTAAGAAGTAACTACGAATTTACTGCAGATAAAGTTCACAAAACAAAGTATCGCCAAGTATTCCTAAACATAACTACCAATAACGATTCATCTATAACAGCTGCTAAATTAGATATAAAATTATGGACTACCTGATATGTCTAGCCTTATAAACCTCTCCGTAGGTACCAGAGCCAACACGTTGTAACAGTTCATAATCATCAGTTGGGTCTGCCCGTTTTATTACATCTAAGTTCATTAGCTAAAAAATGAAGCAAAAGTTTTTCGTTGAAAACGAATATCATTTATTTTTGGTGTATCAGAAGGAATTCTGAAATTTTCACGAATAAAGCGTCGCTAAATCTTAGCAAACTATTTACAACTGATCAATGAAACAACGCACAAAAAAAATGAAATTTACACTTGCTTGTTCAGTTGGATGAAAAATTTCAGATGAGGAAATGTAGAAAGTAGAAGTAAGAATTGAAATAGTCGAAGAAAAAAAAAAAAAAAGAAATAAAATCGTTGATAAATTCATTAATTTATATTTGTCTACAGCGGTAACCATTAAACAGAATATTCTTAGAGAGTACCGGATGAAAAAAACTGGACAACATTTTAGAATAAAAATGATGCCACAAAATTTTCAGATCTTTAACCATTAAAAAAAACTTCTGCTCAATAACTAATGAACTGACTACAAATAATGCTGAGCAACAACAGTCTTATTGGGATAGAATCTGCTAAGTGCATTTGGCAAGTACATTTTTCATCTTTGTAAATAACAACAAAATACACATAATTAACTGTCTTATTTCCTGTTATTTCACAGAAATTATAATTTGGCAAAAAAAAAAAAAAAAAAA